TTTAAATGTCTAAATAAAACTAATCTTACAAGAATTATTTCCAAATTCATCAATAAATCCTATTTTCAAGTCACTCATTGCATGAATAATCCTTGAAAGAAAAACACTTGAAATATTTTTAGTGTTGATAGAAATGTTTTATTGTAAGCCTTAATTAAGAAAAGAGATTACTGCCTTACACAAAAAAATTACAAAAAGTCAATTACCTGAAAAGATTCAGTTGGAAACATATTTCTTATGTTTAGCATTGATGAAGCAGTAGCTACGCCCCCTGGTGGTGAACCAGGAAGCTGCGAGCCGCGAGGCTCCTGAGGTTGTCCAGAACTGATTGCATAAAACCTGCAGACTTGGTGGCTTCAGCCGAGGTTTCAGTTTCCACAGGAAGGCCAACGGCACCGCGCTGCTCACCAACAGATCCAGAACCAGAAGAAAAGTCAGCTCCAGCGTGTTCACAAGGCATTTACACACAAACCCAAGGACGAGATGAACTGAGGGTGTTTTCCCCATGTTGATCAGGACTCTGCTGCTTTTTCCTGTGCAGCTTGTTGCAGCGTTTGGTATATTGCTGCCCGTAAACGTAACTTTTAGTGAATAACTAAAATGATTCCTCTGTCAGAGATTGAGACTGTTCTTGGACGTTCTTGATTCCTGGTGGATGTTTGGCATAGAGTTGCGTTAAAGCAGAACCGTTTTTCCTCCAGTAAATCCATTTCTCATCCGACCCTCCATGTGGAGATGAGAAGCGTCTCAGACAGCCGCCGCCCTGAGGCGCTCCAGCCGGAGAGGTGTGGGTGTTTGGGTGGAGGCCAGAGCTCTGAAGAGCTTCATAAGCCAACACATTTAAAAGTTTTCTAAATTTGGTTCCTTCATGCTGTGGCTTGTTGACCTGCAGCAACATCTTATGCATTTATTAATACCTAACCCAGCAGAGTGATGTTAGATCTGCTGTCAGCTTAGTGAACCAGGGAGGCCTGTCTGCATGAAGGCTGTGCTGGTCTCATTTTTAAATCCAATTCATTTCTGGGACTTTAATTAATTAATCGTATTTCAATTGAAAAACTTAAAAGTTCATCTTTCCAGAATTTCAGGAAGTCCTGATCATTAATGGATGAAATCTGGGCTGTGCTCACTGACATTAGCGTTAGCTGCTACAGGCTTAGCATGCTATTTCATGCTTCGTTGATAGGCTAACTGTTTTTAGCACAACTTCAATACATCAATAGTCTTTTCCTTCGTCCAATCAGATCGTTTAGAGGAATTAACCCTCAGTGGACCAGAGAAGAGGCGCTGCGGTTCGTCGTTTCTGGATGTCGCTTGTGCATCAGAACAGACCAGAAACACGATGCAAAATGCAAACATGTTAAAATCTATTAATTATTTAATCAAAATGAACGTGTTAAAACCCAGCCGGCCCCACTTCAGTCAGAACCATTTCATTGCCATGAACTACTCGCCGTTATTTCTAGAACTTTTTTGTTATTCTGTGAAAACCAAACGGAGGACAGGACGGAGGATCTATTCTCTGTTGATGGAAAATAAAGACAAGCACAAAAATTGCTTGAGGTGCAAACAACAACTTTTTTGTTTGCTTTCTACCTGTGATCCCCTCACTCAGTGGCGCCCTGGGTGTGAGCCGTATTGCCCGTATCAATAACCCATAACTGTTTGTAAATGATTGTTTTGCTCGGTTTAGTTCTGTTTCCATATTTTTAGATCAGAACGTTGTTTAATACTTTCCAGCATGATTGAAGCAGAAGTTGATGTTGAAGTTAATCTGAAGGTGAAGGAGGGCGAGCCTAACGTGGATAATACTTATTTTTTCCTGATAGCATTCCGTCTATTTTCCGCGAGTGAGCAGAGAAAAGCTTTATAGACCTTGTGAGTGGGGATAATAGGGATTTTAATGGCTGTAATGCTCTTATGTCTGCATGCAGTAAGATATCTCTAACTATTAAATCTGAACTGCAAACCATTAGAAATGGTTTAATTAAACCCATGTCATTGGTTTACATTTTTAATTCTACATGTCAACAAGCTGTTTACCACAGACCAAGATAGATGTGTCTGGGCTCTGGGATCGATTCGGCAGACCAAAATGCCTTTGCATTCACTTTACAGGGAAGAAAAAATCTCCAGATTTCTTGTACTTTTCCTCCAGGCCATGGAAATATTTTCATGTTCCGTCTGTCCAAATAAAACGTAACATTTCTTCTGGTCTTGTTTCCTAGTGGCGGTCCAGACCCACTTGGTGCCGCCCAAAAAGATGCAGCCAGGCATGGTGAAGTCCAGCCTGGTCCATGCCAGCGTGGCCACCATGCAGAACCCGATGGGCTACGACCCGCGGGCCAACGGCCACTGCGCCCTGCCGCGCCTCTCCATCTCCTCGCGCTCCGCCAGCATGGTGGCCAGCCTGGACGCCAGCACCGACGGCTCCATCGCGGCGCTGCAGTCCGTGATGAAGTGGAAGACGGTGATGGCGGTGTTCGTGGTGGTGGTCCTCTACCTGGTGGCTGGAGCTCTGGCCTTCAAGGCCCTGGAGCAGCCCTTTGAGAGCAACCAGAAGACCAGCATCACCCTGGAGAAGGCCTCCTTTCTGGAGAGGAACCCCTGTGTGACTCCCACCGAGCTGGACGCCATCATCAAGGTGGGTTTGGATCTTATCCATGTTGCATCTAGTCTCCAACAGATGGGCTTTCAAAACGCTTCAGGAGTTGGAGAGCAAGTCAAGTTCTTCAAGGACAGAATAACTTACTCAGTGAAGGATAACGCCTTGACCTTTAACCTAAGGGAAGGGAGAGTCATGGAACAGCAGGCAACAGAAACCGATGATTTTGTACCAATGAACATAACCTGTGTTTTATCAGTTTAGTCTGAGGAATCTTGAGGTAAACCAGCATTCAGTTTCATTTGAACGGTAAGAGAGACGATTGAGGCCCTAAAATAAAGTAGAGTTGGGTGTGGACTTCACTGTAACCAAATTTATATCGACTCTGCAGCAGAAACTACCAAGAGGAAAGAGATGAACAAGAGGGGACTGAGGACAGAACCTTGAGGATCGCCACTGTTAACTGTAAACTAAGACAAAATGTTTGTCACCATATCTGGCTGTGACAGAACAGGTGAAGGCAGGAAGTGTTGCAGAATAAAAGCCTAAAGAACGACAGGCTGCATGTTTATGTGCAGATCAGGGATGGAGGGAAAACTATGGAGACAAACGACAAAATACAGAGAGGAAATAAAAACTAGAACAGATGGAAATAACACGAGCAACAGCCACAAAACCACCAGAGATCAAGATGATAAAACTCTCCTAATTCACTTTTAATTTAATTTGTGAATAAAAACAAAATGTTTCACTATGAATCCATTAGTCTATTTTCACAGTCTAATATTGTGTTTCTATGTAGCATAGCTAAAATCAGCCTGGAGTTTATCTCACATGTGGAAGATCAGTGATGATTCGCTGTAAATTAGTCAGACGTTGTTTTGGAGGCTGAAATGTCACAGGAGAAATCTGATCTGAACTGTCTGTTCATGTTGACATTTGTCATAAAGAAAAGGAGAATGCTGGACAGGTCAGGAGAAGAAGAGGTGATGTCTGCTGTCCTCTGTTGGCTTAACATTTATACATCTGCTATATGAGAGGCTAACTTCAGGTTTATTTAATCACTGTTTGGAGAATCTCAGATCTTAATTCCAACATTTAAAGATCAATTCTACATTTTTGCAGCTTTCTGAACTTGAGTGTGATATCTGAGGATGTTCTTGTCAACTTCAGAAAAGTCTCGCCTGATCTGACTCTGACACTCCGCCTCGCCTGTGAAACCTGAGCAGAGGTGTGTGTGTACCTGTTGTTTCCTTCAACACGTTCTCCTGTCTGTATTAGTCACAGTTTGGAAGTCAAATGTATTTATATCCAATTCAAGGTTAGAATTAATTAAACTGATTCCAGAGAAAAGGGACAGAATGATCCATGTAGAGTTCAAGGAAATAAAAAAAGTTGCTGGGATTTTTCTGACTTCAAGTAGAAACTCAACCAGTGACAAACTGAACCAGTAATTTATCAGCAGGACTTGAAATTTCCCTTGTTGTCAGTTTATAGTCCAGGAAACAGAGACCGAGTTCAGTCAGGATCCAAATTAACCGTCCATTTAACTGTTTTTTACTCTGTCAGCAGCAGTGATATGAAGCACAGCAGTGATTTATTCTGTTCTCTGGCATTAAACTGAATCATCATCCAGACTGAGGGTCACTGCATCACCATGACACGCACAAGTGGAAACGGGAATGGGAAAATGATTTGAGATGTGCCGGAGTACGATGAGCAGAAAGTTTACAGGTTCAGGCCTGAAGATCAGCCAGACTGCAGAAACCGTTACAATACGCTGCAAAAAACCCAGGAAGGAAAAAGAACCCAGCAACAACAACCTTATGCAACAACCAGGCAGTTCTCAGTCTGCAGCCCAGTCCTTGAACTAACCCAAACGGGTCGGTGGCGCTCATCTTTCCACCAGAATAACTCCATTTGATCGCCCACTCTGCTCGGCAGAGCCTCTCTCCCTCTGCAGCTCATCCAAACTTTATTTGGGATCCGTCCTTTTTCTGCACCACATTCCCTTTGTTGTACTCAGCCTTTCAGCCACTGATGCTCCATCATGAGTTTTTGAAAAAATCAATGAAAGTACTGCCTAAGAAGACGTGTGGAAATGAAAACCTTTAGCGTGGCGAGCCTGGGGTCCAGAGGAATCAATTATTCATTGAGCAGATCTGCAGACACAAACCTCCTGGAGTGAATCACAGCCAGCAGCGTCTTCTGGACAAATCAGCTCAATCTCTACTTCAGATTCATGCCATGACAGAACCAGTCTGAAGGAAGACTATCTCAGTGTGTTCAGTGGATTTATATATTTGAATTCTGAATGACTCGGTTTCTACCTGATGAACAGCAAACCGTAGCCAGCCTGAAATCTTAATGTGTTGTTATGAAATGACAACATGGATTTTCTTCAGAACACTTTCTATTTGCCCATGTCAAAGTTTGAGTTTCCAAACTTTACAAAGTGTCTCAAAAGAATGCACAACTCTTCACCTTTTTAAACTTAGTCACAGTGAAACCAGCAGCGTCAGTGTTTTTATAAAGATTTGGAAAATAGAAGGAAAATAATGAATTACTTTCAAACTGCAAACTAAGAGGAGAAAATAACAGCGATCGAAGATTCATTCATTTAACTGCAGAAAGAACAGAAACAAGAAAAAAAAGAAACTGAACACAAAGAAACGAACTGAGCAGGAAAAGATCTGCTAACAACCAGGAGCGTATCTAAGGTTTAAATGTCCTTAGTGTATCTCCTGCCTGTCACTCTGCTCAGCTGGAGGGAAAAATGCATCCAACATCCAGAGTTTGCTCCTGTAAACACTGTGAAAATCTTTGGTTCAGAACACAAATAGAGAATCATTAAAGCTGCATTCATTTTAAGTTTGTCAGTAAAACGCGTCATTGTTCAGTTCAAAGTTCTCTGAAGTTTGAGCTTTGTTAAGCTTGACTGGCAGCAGATTTATGATTACTGCACAGATGTAATAATGACATGTTCACTGATGGAAAGAGGAAGAAAGTGAATATCAGTCTTTCTGAAAAACAAACGTATTCCTAATAAACGTTGGAGCAGCTCTTACAGTAGCAGAATGACTCAGTTTTATGTGTCTGCTGTTTGAAGAAAAGGCCTGCAGGACCTGCTGCTTCACACGTACATCATCAGAAAGTCTGCCTGCTCCTCTTACAGCTTTGGTTATTAGTTATCTGTTTGTGCTCCAGTCGCTCAGCGGAGAGCTGGCAGCGGCGACGCTCTGTTGTCAAACTGTTCTGGTGGAGAAGTTGACAGGAAAATGGCAACCTTGGGAAGCCTGTGTGGGCCGATCTATCAGGACGGCAGCGCTCGTTAAGGCTCGCCGCACAGCGTGTGCTGACTTAATGCGGCCATGCGCGTCTGTTGACCTCGTCACGTCTGCTCCGGTACCGCAGATGCCCACTCACCCACTGGGTGCCACAAACACTGCAGCCCTAATTGGCTTTGGTTGATGACTCACTGTGGCATTATGTCTCTGGCAGCAGTTAGGCTCCATGTATTGATGACTCACTAATCTGCAAATAAACTTCTGCATTCACCGGATTACTGCAAGTAAAAATACATCAGAAACGCTCTAGCATGCCATGAATTATGTAACATAAGAGAAAAGTGTAACAGGTTGGGTTTGTTTTTATTTCTAAGGATTAGCTGCACAGAATGCTGCAGAGGAGGGATTTAGCCTTAAAGTATTAGTTCAGAGTTTGTTCTTTAGTAGTAAAACCACCTGTTATTGTTGTTGAACTCAGTTCTTGGTTGTAGCATCAAATATTTCAAGGTGGTTTGGGTCAGTGTTCAGGTGTTACTGATGTTGAAAGTGTTGCAGAGCAGAGTTGTTGGCAGCGTGTCAGAATGCAGCAGGGGGTGGAGAGCGTGAGGAAGCTGCTGCCCGGATCGCTGCTGTCACCCGCTGAGGGGAGGAAACGCCGCTGAGAGGATGGAAATCTGCAGCGACGGTCTGCTCTCTAATGATCTGCAGCGCAGGACGAGAAAACGCATCAGCCAGCTGGAGGTGGCAGCGTTTCTGCACCTGTAGAGAAACCAAAGCAGACCAGAACATTACGGAGAAACAAACAGTTTGGATAATTACCAAATTCACAAAGTTTCACATCAGACAAAAATAACCTCAAATGAGTTTGAGACTTTTCAAACCAGTCTTGGTCATTTCACACTCGACTTCCTCCAGTACAAAATGAGACCTTGTGTTGCTTTTATATCCACCAATTCTCACCTGCAAGGTTTCTCAAATGCTTTACATAGTTTTTATTAAATCTCATAAACGACAGGGTGTCAGCCCTCATTTTCCTTTGACTATTCTAGTTTGTCTGCCACCAAACAATAACAATCCTGGCTTGTGGACAAAACAACATCAGATGTTTTCCCACCTGACAGCCCGTTGGACCCGGTTCTACTGGAACCCAGAACTCCATCATCTGCTCCTCCTCCAGCTGCTATGGTTCTGAGTCACACCAACCTGTTCCCCTCCTGGCCTGTGGGGGCGCTGCACCAAGATCCACTGAAGAAAACAACACAAAACCTCTGAAGACACTGAGAGCAACTTCCTTCTTCACCAGATGGAAACAAGATGGAGGCGTCAGGTTTTAGCGGTGGGAGGATTTCTCTTTAGGCTAAAGACCAGGAGCCATTTCTGCTGCTAGCGCTAGGCTAACATATTTGTTTTGATTACACTTACCCAGAATGCCCTGCGCTGTAGTCCATTTCCTGCTTTTGGAGCGGCCTCTGCTCCGCTTAGCTTTCACATGAATTCAAACCGAACTTCAACCGAACCCAGACTGAGGTTTGTAGGCAGACACAGATTTGGGTACCGTAGTTTAAAAGTTACTGTTATGTTGGTTAGTTTAAAGAACATGAAGAATTGTGTCTGAAGCATGTGTGTTGCTCTGAATAGAGCATCATTTAGGCAGAAAGGCTGTGGCATTCACAGTGATCTGCTGTGGTGTGACCAGGTATGAAGCTTCTGGAATTATCTGACTGTTCAGGAATGAGATTTCAGTGAAGAGACTCAAGTGATCAAATAATTATTAGCTGAATTGATTAGAAAGGAGGTGAAGCTGAGATTCATATTTGGTTTCAAGCATCCGGCATCCCAAGGAGAGGAATGTGTCTGCTTAGCTTAGCTTAGCTTAGCTTGAGATGGAACTTTGACTCTGTAGCGGTGGCGTCCATGTGGCTTGTGCACGGCCTGTGTGGAGCTGACAGCATCATTGTAGACTGGCTGAACATCTGTGTGTGTGTGTGTGTGTGTGTGTGTGTGCGTGTGTGTGCGTGTGTGTGTGTGTGTGTCTGCAGCTTTGTGTGGAGCTGTGTGCCAAGATGAAAATGACTCTGTTTATATTGATTTTAGATGTAAATTAATGTCTTAACATAACAAATATTTGTTTTCACTATTGATTTGAATAAATTAGCCGTTATTTGGACAACCTGATACTTGCATCTCAGACAGATCCTTTTTTTTAGTGTGGTTGTAAAAGTTATGGGGCAAAAATAGAAGTCCTTATAAAATATTCAGACACATCGAGCAGATATGTATTTCTGCCCCTCGACTCTAAAATTAGGAAATCTTTGGCTTTTTTGATGGGATATTTTCCCTCATAAATGATTGTTTATTAAAACCTCAAGCATTTTGAAAGTGATTATTTTTAGATTGAGTGGATGTTGTTAGTTGGGTTGATGCAGCTGAGGTGAGATGGTGAGTAAGCACGTCCAGCAGCGTGTTTGCAGGTTGTGTTTTACTGCTTGGAAATGTGTGTCAGAAGAGTACATGCATATTTTATTCTAACGGCTTGCAGCTTTCAGAAAGCTTGAGTGAACAGATTGGGGGTTGCCCTGAATGAAGAAGCCGCAGCTGAAAGCATGACGCGCCAGCAGTGCTGAGAGCAAACAGTTTCACAGTGAACATTTGCCCCCAGAGGCAGAATATTACCGAGCACATGTATATGGAAATTATAAAATAAATGCTTTTCTCATCTAATGCCCATAAAGACAGAGATTATAAAGAACAAAAGATAATAGGTTGATGTTCCTGGGTGCATAATGGAGCCCAGAGGGAGATCATTGAGAAGAGATGCTGTAACTGGTTTTCACTCTATAATATGTGGACGAAACAGAAAAGACCAACTCTGAACAGCTTTGGTTAAACAGGAACATGGAACAAGATCCTGTGTGAACACAACACTCCATAAATATTGTTTATTTCTGAAACAAAGAAACTCCCTCAGATTTTACAGTCTGTTGATTAGTGTCACAACTAACATAACTTTAAATTATTTGAGTACAAGATCAAGAAAAACTCTTTCTGCAATTCTTTTATGGACTAAATGGACTATGAGTAACAGAGCAGCTGATAGAGGTCACATGACCAGGTGTGCTAACCTGAAACCGCAGCCTGAACTTCTGGAAGGTTCCTCCTGACTTTACTCACATTTTAACTGAGTTGTTTAAGTTTGCACTGAGTCCAATACGTCCTTTAAGACTGATCCTTGTAGCTCAACTTCTGATTCCTACTGACTGCATTTACAGGATCACATTAATCTGCAACATGATGCTAAAAGCCTTGAAATAAATTCAGTACCATTTTAGAACCTTTTGTTTAGTGAGACTATTTTTCCATTTGATGAAAAAAAAAAACGATAATTCTGGTGTTTTTACAATAGTGTTAATTATTGTAAACTATTCCTACCAAACTAATAAAAATTCAAATTCTCAACCAAAATGAAAAAACAAATCAAACCTTTTATTAAGGGTTGGAGGAACAAAATCCATGTGCAGAAATAATCGTTTCACAACAATAGCCCCAGAAATCCCTGGGGCTATATGTTTTATGAGTTAATATAAATTAACTCATAATTTATGAGTTAATTTATATTAACTCATAAATTTAAAAAATCCTGATGTTACTATTTTAACTCTACAAGGTTCCACCAGATGTTGTTTTTCCACTTTTTAAGATTAAATGTTTGAATCACCTTCATATAAAGTTTTATTTATTTTCAAAGTATTTTCATTTTTAAAACATTTTTAGACTTTATTTTGTCTAGAAGTCTTTTTCTATGAAGTGCATAATGTGACGGTGTGTGTGGTTTGTCCAGACTTTTTGCATTAACACATATTTATGGATTAATGTAACAAACTACAACAGAAGTGCTGCATTTCACCTTTTACACTAGCTCTGCTGCCAACTAGTGTAAAATATGTAAATTCAGGAAAAATACAAAATAAAACCAAAAGAAAAAAAACAAGGGTCAGATTGAAAAGTTAACTCATAGATAAGTATGGTGGAGGATCGATGATGCTGTGGGTTGGTCCATTTCATCTGGACGTCTCTGAGATATGAGGGCAGTTTGAACTCTGGGAACTGAACCCAGCAGATAGAAAACCAACCTTCTTCCATGAATGTTTTGGTCTGCAGACCCAGACTGAGCCGAGCTGAGGAGCAGAGAGGAGCGGAGCGATGACTCCAGAAACATCTGGAGAGATGCCTGAAGATCTCTGTCTGGTTGCTCCAATTAGAAAACTCTGAGCCGTACTGTGGGGAAACAGAGGTTATAAATAAGGTCAAAGGTGTGACAGGATCCATGCTGAGGGTCATGTGTGAATATCTGGGCAGAGAAACAGTCTGTCTGGGAGCCCGGCGCTCTGAACCGTTTCTTCTCTATGACTGCTGAGCTGCTCATGTTTAGCTATTTTCTCTCCCTGTGCTTTGATCAGAGTTTATTTCTATATAAATCTTGAGTTTTGATCAGTGTCCCTCCTCCCTGTTTCCTGCAGCATGCGATAGACGCTGTGAGCGCAGGAGTGAGGCCTATTGGAGAAACGTACAACTCCAGCTACTGGGACATGGGCAGCGCCTTCTTCTTTGTTGGAACGGTCATCACCACCATAGGTAGGAGCCAGAGAGGCTCTGCTCAACGCGTTCATGCAGCCTCAGCCGTATGAGTCAATAAGATGTCAAGTTTAATATTAAACCTCACACAGAATGTAATAATTACTTTGCAGAACATTTTTTAATGTATGAATTTTAACTTGTTCATTTCTATTAATTGCATAAATTTTAGCATGTAAAAGTTTTAATGCAGTTATCAGAATTTTATTAAAATACATAAATCCTGAGCTGGAAATTTTGTGTTATGTTTCTGGTACGTCTGTAAATCTGACGCACGGTCTGCTGGCAGCAGTGATGGATAATAAAGCTGCTTCTCTCGGCCCACTGAGGTTCATTTCTGCTTCAAAACGATCCAACTGGATGCTAGATAACAACATTGTTGTATTCAAGTTGTGCTAAAAGGAGCTAGCCTATCAGCGAAGGTCATAAACCACAAGTTAATATAAAACAAAACATTTATGAAAATACATTTCATTGTTCCCATTTTGACAGTAAATGTTTTTCTGTCCTTTCCAGTTTTATTTGCTGTGGTTGAATAGATGCAGTAAAGTCTCAGCTGACCTGGGTCTCATTATTATTCCCGGGTGATTTGAACGCCGGCGCTCGCTCCTGGAGCTAACAGCCTGTGAAGCTCAGCATTCTCATAATTGCTTAGAGAAACTGCTGACATAAACATGTTGTTTTCTCACGACGAGCCGCCGTCCTGAAACAGCTCCTGCTGCTTTTACACAAAACATGGAGACGATTGAGAGACCATTTAAAACACCAACATGAGGTTCATCAGACATGAGCTTTCTCTTTCAGCTGCCTTCATGGACAGAGCTTCACAAAATCCATTCATACACACCACTTGTTACTTCTGACAGGTCTTATATATCATGTGATAGATAAAAGATAATATTTTATTTATAAAAAATATGAGTGAACATTCAGCATCATAAAGATCCAGGAACGGAGCAGCAGGTCAGGGAGGAAGTTCTGGCTTAAAGCAGGCTCGGTTTTACTGCAAACAGTAAAAACTTTTAGAGTTTAGATGTTTACAGCCGGCAGAGAAAAACCCCAAAAGAGTGAAAATGTTCCCCAGAGTACCAACTCAGTGGTGCAAATACTAACACTTTTCACTTTCTTATTTATATCATTTTCCTTTAGCTTCACGTAACTTTTTGCAAATCATTAAAATAAACCAAAATTCGTCATCTTAACGTAAAAAATGTGAGTTTTAAGTAATTCTGCCAGCTGCTGCTTTAAGTGTCGGGTTTCGGTGAGTTAAAGAAGAAGGAATCACGCTGCCTCCTCCGTCACTGATTCTGACCTCACTGTATCTCTGTATGTTACAGTAAAGTCATTATTAATGCAGTTTCCTTTAAACCTAATTACAGTCTGTTGGAGCTTTTCCATGCACTAAGAGGTATTACATAAGGCCATCGATTGATTGAGTTACATAAGAGAAGCTTGATTGAGTCTTGCTCCTCGTCTTACGCGCCAGCCTTCCCTGCTCTTCTCTGCGTCTGTTTTGGGTCTGAGCGGTTCTGAAACGTTCTCCTGTTCTCCACAGGTTATGGGAACATCGCTC